TATATACGTCAGTCCTTATGTTATGAGATTATTTACTCTGCTTACTGTTGAAGTGTCGGATCTGTGGCTAAGTCGATGCGAACGCTTCGTAATGCCAGGGTGCTGGATTAGATCCCAGCTGCGGGCCATGCGCCTTGCGTTGGTTTCGACAGTGGTATCAAGAAGCCGACCGTCCAGAAAGCAATGGCAAACTACTGGAGTAAATGCCCAGAGAAACCACACAACAACCAGGGACTGCTGGAGTTGGTTCTGCAACGTCCTGTAAAGGATACGCAACTACCCTACTGTTGAAGTACAATGTAAACTGGTTTTATTCTCACTTGTTAGCACCAACTCTTTGTTATACATTATGAGCTTTTGATGTAGTTTCGATCCTAGATAATTTGTGTGTTTGAGTGTAAACACAGTTTTATAATATCCATTCAAAACACTCATCAGATTGAAATCGCTCTCTAAATTCTCTCTCTCTCTCTCTCTCTCTCTCTCTCTCTCTCTCTCTCTCTCTCTCTCTCTCTCTCTCTCTTTTAAACGAAATAATAATTTAACTTCGTGCATGTTTCGGAGATTAGCAGACAGCAATATTTCACGGTAAAATTACATTCACAAAGGCCCAGAGAAAACCTTCTCAGATAGTTACTGCTCGTTCTGACAGTCTCCGCTTACTCAGAAAAGAAAGGCCTGACACAATTTATCCACCGCCCATTGGCTATAAACAGATGACCTGTCAGAAAGGATATTCATCATCTTTCATCTAGGTTGGCCTAGCTTTAAAGCCTAAATAAGGAAAGCTATTTTATGTCTGTTTAAGATGGCGAGGGTTTAGAGTTTCAAGTTTTTCTTACGAAAGTTCAGGATATTCCCTGTGTCAGCTAAGTCATTATACTGTTCTTATTTACAAGATTGTGAATGCTAACCATCCTTTGCTTTATTCAGCATCGACACTCAATGAACGAATGAAAAAATACCAATACATCGGAATTTAATTTCTAAAGTATGGAATTCAAGTTCACGAAGATGTTGTTTCTTGTGGAAATACTGTATATTTTATATGATAAGGAAATCTAAGCAGGTTCCGCGAGCAAAGTGTGCATGTGTATTATTCAGGATTGTTGTAGGAAACTTTTAATTTTGAACGTTTTTGCTTTAAATCGTTAGTTTCATTGTCTTTCTTGTAGTCACTGCCTTGTAACAAGGGTCAGAGGCACTGTATTAAACACGGATTTAGGTTCCTACAAATCTGATGTCTTACCGTAAGAACTTTTTTTCTTCTTTGCATACGTTTACAGTAGTTGAGTTTATTCGAACGTGTTTCTTTCCTAGAAACTTAGTTGTTTCAATTTATTTCTCTGTGTGGTACTCGTTATGTCTGTCTATCTGTTTAATACGAGGTGAGGTCAGAAAAGCCGAATGTAAAACGGTTTTGTACTCACTGAAGATAAAGTTCGTTCGTTTGTTCTTTCAGTCTATCTGTCTGTCAATTTGTCCGTCTGCCTGCCTGTCATGTTTTCAAATACCAGCTGGGGAAAAAAATTGACTACATTTCCAAGTCTACGCCTTCTAGCAGTGGTATCAGGGAGAATTCTGGAAAGTTAAAGTGGTCAACAAAATACTGACTACATTACTCGTTGTTTTGAAGAGAGGAATGAGAACCCTGAAACAAAAACAGCGAAGAAGGGAACGTGCCACTTCATATCGTATATCATGGCCTAGAATATGCACCTGCATGAGTACATAGCGTTTGTCCCCTCTTTTTGGCTACCCGAAAAGTTTTACACCTTGAGATTAGAAGATCCTAATCAGTGCTAGTAGCAGACCAACAGGGCGAGCCTAGATACATTGTTCTTCCTCCAAGTATGTTTTAATTAGGGCCCCCGTACCGGATACAGCAACCAATGCCTGCCATCCCTGTGTGCGTAGGTATGTTATAGATAATATGCGCACCCTAACCGTCCCAGTATAGGATGCAAGTTTTCGTTTTTTTTTCATAGGCCCAATTCCGGCTGTTGTCCAGAGCCCTAATATAACCAACGTTATTAGTTGAACGGGGTTGCTGGGAATTGTTCCCGGGTGATCGTCATCCGAACGTGGCACTTTGTGTCACCGGATGTTGGTGGCTCGTTTTACGGTCCTTGGGGGGTTGATTTACACATATAAGTATATTGTAGATTTTAGAATATGTTAAGACATATCAGTTTTTACCCCAACGGGGTAACCGCTATTCATTTTTTAAGGTGATTCACAACATACTTTCACCTCCTACCTGAAAGCAGGAGCCGCGGTTTGTTAAATGGTTCCCTTTGTGTTTTTGTAATTAATACAATCTGCGCCTGTGATTTAATGATCCGACTAACAGGAGACGATTGCGCAAAAGAAGTGCACTCTTACACTTAACCATCTGTAATAATAATCAATTATGATGTCACAATTAGTGCCAAACCCTTCTCCAGAGATTTGATGATACTGTACCTGCTAAAATCCGCGCAAAATGGTATATGGACACTATTACTGCAGCTATTACAGGGGCTGCTGCTGCTGCTAATACTACTTATTATTGTTGTTAATTTTATAGTAACATTTCCTTAACACTCTGTTAACATCAACAAAATGTGGGTTCCAGCAGAGATGCATTATTATTATTATTAGTCCTCGGTAAAGGCGAATTTTTTAAATACGAACTGGATTGTCATTGCCTTGGAATTCGTATCAACGAGGTTTTACTTGTTTTTAATATTACTATTATTCATCTTTACTTTTTCTCTACATCTTTTTTTTTAAACTTTTTCTTTTCTTCTACCATTTTCTTCTACTCGTCTTCCTATTTACAATCATCTTCTTTCTCGGCCTTCTTTGTACGCCTCCTTTCTTTTACTCCTCCTCCTTTGCACTACTCTTTCTTCTGCATACACTCTCCCCCTTCTTCCATTTGATTATTCCTATTTTTCATAACGTGTCTGTTATATCTTCTCTCTTTCCATATTGCAGGTCACAGAAAAAGGCTTGTTATGGTCAATTTCTACTGTGATTTTGTCCCCTTCATAGATAATTCCCAGAATATTCTGACAGAAATAATAAACATTTAATAAGATCAAAGTCCAGAAGTGGACGAACAACCTGAACTTTCGGCCGCTGACCGCTAGGAAAAATAAGAGGAAGAAGAAATATCTCTAGACATTATAGTTCACACAATAACTTGTATCATGGTTAAACTTTGTCACTATACATTATACGGTGTAATATTGTTACAGTTTGGGGCTATTCGTTATGCAGGGTATTATGGTTACAATATGCTACCGTACAATGTAAAAGGTATCACAGCTAAAATTGCATACTATAAAATATACATAGTCATAGTTAAAATGTGATATTGTAAATTATACAGTGCATCATAGTTAAAATGGGATACTGTAAATAATGCAGTGCATCATAGTTAAAATGTGATACTAGAAATTATACAGTGCATCACAGCTAAAATGTAATACTACAAATTATACAGTGCATCATAGCTAAAATGTGATACTAGAAATTATACAGTGCATCACAGCTAAAATGTAATACTACAAATTATACAGTGCATCATAGCTAAAATGTGATACTAGAAATTATACAGTGCATCACAGCTAAAATGTAATACTACAAATTATACAGTGCATCACAGCTAAAATGTGATACTAGAAATTATACAAGGCATCATAGTTAAAATGTGATACTATAAATTATGCAGTGCATCATAGCTAAAATGTGATACTATAAATTATACAGTGCATCATAGCTAAAATGTGATACTATATACCAGGTATATACATCTACGTTTACTTAGAGGCCATAATTTTGAAAATTTGGAAACGTCATGGGCCAGATGCCCTAACCCCTGCATAGAGATTTTGAGGTTTTGAACAACGGATCAACATCATGGCACACGGGTATAACCCATAATCTCTCCGTTCTTCTTCTAACTCAAGTCCGAGTCCAAAGAAGCTCAGCACAACGCAGAGGCTCTGTAGCATCGGCGAGGTTCCTGGAATACTTTAGGTAGATTTTTAACTCCAAATTTTGCCCGGGCAGCGCCGTTAGACTACTCTTTTCAATTTCCACCTGCCAAGGGCTTTTTTGAGGTGCGCAACAATACACACAGGCTTCCGTTCTCACTACTCAAAGACCAGGGGGAAATAACTAGTAGTCCAAGTCCTGCCTAGAAAGATCACTAATACAATACAACCGGCAATAATCCGCGGACTACTTTCGCGGGCCCTAGTTGGATAGCCCTGCTATATAGTACACTGAGTACCATAGCTATAATATAATAACATATATTCATGAATGGTATCGAAATTAGACTTGGACGTACATTATACACGGTATAATTTTTTTTAGAACCGTCATCTCCTTAGGGGATGCAATTTTTACGTACTTTTGAAGCCCCATCCTGGCTTTTGCCGGGGGCCCTAAATATAGCCGGGCCTTAAATATGGCATAACGGCTGAACGGGGATTTCGGGACCTCCCCACAGGTTATCCTCATCCGCATGGTGACACCTTGTGTCACTGGGTGTTTATTGCTTGTGTGATGTCCCGGTGGGGTACAACTTACCTACCTACCTACACGGTATCATACTTAACATTGTAACTGCGTCCAATGTCGGATGCAATTTGTGTTGTTTTGAAGCCTAACCCTGGCTGTTTCCAGTGGCCCTAATTTAACCTAGTCTTTAGGTTGAACGGGGTTTCTGGGACCTATCCCCTGGTGATCCTCATTCAAATGGTGGCACTTTGTGTCACTAGGTGTTTATCGATCGGTGTGTTGTTCTGGTGAGGTTGAACATCAGTCGGTCAGACACAGTATTATAATCAGAATTTCATAATATAAATTATACAGAGCATCACCTGCTACCGACTGTGGTAAGAACTCTTTGTTACTTTGGCGATTATGAGTTTTCCACCATTGACAACTGTTATTAATTAAATCTGAACCTAACATATGAACCTGTGGAGACTGCCGTAGGAATGGCCGGAGTGCAGTGTTTCGCAATACTGACCTCTGACCCGCGGGGACTGTGCTGGGCGGGGGGAGTGCTGGATGGAAAGATTGTGCTGAACATCACAACTCCACTGCCTGTCAGAGGTATGTATATGTTTCACATAATATGGTTTTGGTTGGGCGCACACAATGAATAATAAATTTACAAAAATGATGCTGTCTCTACATTACATTTTGGCTGCAATGTTACTTTGGCGAACATTATGAATATTACATGGCGAGGCTACAGTCTGTTCCACGGTGCAACTCTCGTATCGCTCTCTGAAAGCCACAAGATTGTGGTTAACGTCCTGTATAGACACTAGAATACTACGTCTTAAAAGAGTCAAACATTATTTAAAGACGCCAACATTATTTAAAGACGCCAACATTATTTAAAGACGCCAACATTATTTAAAGACGCCAACATTATTTAAAGACGCCAACATTATTTAAAGACGCCAACATTATTTAAAGACGCCAACATTATTTAAAGACGCCAACATTATTTAAAGACGCCAACATTATTTAAAGACGCCAACATTATTTAAAGACGCCAACATTATTTAAAGACGCCAACATTATTTAAAGACGCCGACAGTTCGATATAAATTCAGTTAAAAACAGCACAAGATATGTGTTCAAATTTTGACTACATTTTAACAAAAATAGATATTTATTTTTATTTTTGGGTTCTCTCTCTCTCTCTCTCTCTCTCTCTCTCTCTCTCTCTCTCTCTCTCTCTCTCTCTCTCTCTCTCTCTCCCCCCCCCCCTTTTTTTTAGGTTTTATTAATTTTCATTTTTTTTTCAAGTTAGAATATTATTTGTTAGCTAGCAAACGAAACGAGCGAAATACACCAGAAGAGAGTGGTTGAGTCTGACAGTCAAATGATGACTTTAAACCAAGTGGCATACATATTGAAACACTAAATGAGAAATTTAGCTATTATTCCGAATATCCACATTTTGTCCCATCTAAGAATTGCAGATAATTATATTAAAAGATCGAAATCGAGAAAAACAAAATTGCCACAGGAACAGTTAAATGCTAATAAATTAGTCGATAAATGCTGAGTTCTACTGAGAGAATGTTTCAGTAGAAAACACAAATAAAAACTCCCCTGTGGTTATGAAATTATGCCGAAGGCAATCAATAAGTTTACTTGGAGCAATTGTAGAGGTTGATATGTGCGCACCTAATGAATATTAGTGACCTAAACACTGTTTAGTTATGAATATGCAGCATTTCTCTTAACCCCCCCCCACCCCCCCTCCCCAAAAGAAATTTCAAACATAAGTGCGTGTACTTAAGTGACATTCAGAACTTGCTATTATTTATGGTAAATGGTGCAGCAGGGGAAACCAGCCCTGAGCTTCATGAACTCAGGTGGGCCCACTCTCTGAAAATGTATAGGAGCTCGTGGGCCGAAACATTTGTCGACGAGAGGTTACTTCTACTGATGATTGGTAGACTCCTGCTGTACATGCTCCCGTGTGGAGTTTCTTCTTATTATATGGTTCATAAACCGATTTTGATTTAAGATGTAGAGATTAACTTGATTATCCTATTTATTCTGACTCTCTCCCTTCCCCTCTCTCTGTCTATTCCTTTATCTCCCTCACCCCTCCCCCACCCCAACCTTTCCATTTTGTTTTACTTTCTTGGCTTACCTCCTCTGCTCCTGTGAAGGCATTGTTTCTCAATTATTGAACAGCTCAAAGGTTAGCTGACTTAATTACAGATGTTATACACATACAGCACTAACATAAAATGACATATGTAAACAGTTAGCAATAATCACAAAACACATACTGCCAGTGTGAAGTGAATGAAGTATTAGACATTTACATATACTAGGCTACGACATAATTGGGCGTGGTGACAAATTCTCATTCTCCCAGGCTAGTCATCAGTGTTACCCAGGTTATTTATTACAACGTTTTAGACATAGGTCAGAGAGTCTCCGTGGCAGAGCGGATAGACGCGCGCCGCGGATCGGAAGGTCGTGGGTTCGCTCCCTGGCGGAGCCGGACTTTTCTTCAAAAATGACCTAGGCTCCCAGGTCGACCTGGCCTTGAGTGGGTACCGGGTGCAGTCCCGGGAAGTAGAAGCGGCCGGCGTGATGCTGACCACATCATCCATCTTGTGCCGTTGGTCTATTAAAAAATATAGGTCTAGCCGTATATGCCCTATACGCATAAAGTCGCGAAAAGGGTCCTTTACTTACTTTTACATAGGTCACTAGGTCTAAAACTAAGTTTTTCAACAATTTTAAAGAAAGAGAATTTATGAAGTCTTGGTGAATTAATGAAACATTGAGGTTAAAATAATTTCCATTATACACAAGAGTGTTTAAAAATCAAAATTATTTGTGTGTCTTTACAGTAAGTTACAAAACAAACTTCAGCATTCTTTGGCCATTTGCGTTTTCACTAGGAAGTTATACGTTCGCGAGTTTGCTTTTGCTTGCTAAACAGTAGACTCTCGACACCATTGTCGAAGCTAACGCTAGACGTTCTGCTGCCAAATCGTCTGCATCCTAATGACAGCAATAACCATTTAACAAGAAGGGACCAGGCCACCATCTTCAGACCCAGAACACAACATACTCCACTCAGTCGAAACCTAAACAGAAAAAAGCCACAACACTCCCCAGAGTGCCGCTATGTAACTACCCCTACGAAACTGTTGAACACCATCTCTTTGAGTGCCCAAAACTCAACGAGACTAGAAGAATGCTACTCCCTCCGAGACCAGACAGGTGGAACACCTTGTACGGAGGAAAAGAACAGCTTGTGAAAACATGTAAATTCAACTACATGGCATTGGTCCAAAGGGCGAAAGCTCATGCGCCGCTGGATCAATAAAAACAACGACAACATCGTCTGCAGCTGGAATCGAACTCTGCACTTCTGAATTACGAAGAGTATTCGCAACGTCTAAGCCACAGACGCCGACAACGAATGTAAATCATTAAAAAAATATATATATACGGTCTGCGGACCTGCTCTTACGACTCGGGTTAGTGGCCCTTCTTGTCTTGTTCATGGCTCGGCACGTGATCATTGTACCTCGAGTCATTGGGCTGGACACTGGCCACATGCACGTTTTTTACCCAAACATGCATGTTTTAAGTTACCTCAAAACAAGGCAGTGTTGCTGGTCGGTTATAGTTTGGTGCTCACCTCTTTTAACACTGAGACTGATGCTACGTCTTTTAACAGATACAGCTATCACTATGGTTAGTTAGTTGCATGCACTTTACAGGACGTTGCAGAACCAACCCCAGCATAATTGGCTGTTGTGGTTTTTCCAGGCATATTTACGTCTAGTAGTTTGCTATTGCTTCTGGACGGTCGGCTTCTCGATACCAATGTAGAAAGCAATGCAAGGTCCGCAGCTGGGATCGAACCCGGCACCCCCGGCATTGCGAAGCGCTTTCGCAACGACTAAGATACAAAGGCTGACATAACTGTGGTATCTAACCATATTCAAGATATCCAGAGAGTGAGAGAAATCAAGTCGTTTCTAGTGACTGACTAACTCTAATAACACCACCGCTAGAATTTGGATGGAGTTCAATAGTTCAGCTAAAAAACGATAATTGCAGGAAGTGGTGTAGATTGACACAGATGTGATTATTACACGAACTGTTGAAGAACTACCACAGTGAAAGGGTCTAGCTTTAAAAAATAAAACTGCATTTGACAACGCGACATCTCACAAGTGTGTGTGTGTGGAATAGAAGTAGGCAAAGAAGACAAGGCTAATCTGACTGTAAATGCAATACCAACAATGGCCTTAAGGCATTCTTGACGTATGCAGATGCGACCTGAAAGATATCAACATTGACACAGACACAGATGCAGACCGTCTCCTTTGCATGCAGGCAGTAAAAGACGGACTGTCGCAGTTTGACTTTTCTTCGTTAACAGTTAGTGGAAGATCTACTAGGGACAATCAGCAAAACTGCGAGAAAAAAGGACATTTATAAGATTAGTTGGGCAGACTGCTCCATTTTGTTTGTAAAAGTTGCCTGACATGGTGAAAGTTTACATGTTGCAGCATGTTATTATGTTGAAAAGCTAGTTGCCGGTTAACAAAGTTTACTAAAAAAGTAGACAAACTGAAAATGTTTACAGGTTAGTTATTTCATCCGTGTTTTTTGTTTGTTTTAAACATACATGACAAAACGCGGTAGCCAGCGGTAAGCAGCCATTGCAGGATATTGCAGAACATTGCAGGTAGGGTGGCACCGTCATCGCCTTCTAATAATCAACAGGGATTTATAATACTACGCTTGGAATCTTGATGACTTGTGGCCAGAAATTATCAGCTTGATGACTTGGTAACTGGGCGCTTTGAATCACAAGCTTGATGGTTTTCTGGCTGTTTGTCAGAATTCCCAGTCTTGATTACTTGAGTAATAATCAAAAGGGCACTTATAAAACTAAGTCCAAGTCGCAAATTCCTAAATACCAACCTTCAAGTCTGCAGGTTGTGCAGTTCAAACAAGTCCCCAGTTCACAAAGTTATACAGTCCTTATGGCGAATCTCCAGGTCTCCACCTGGCATCTGCAATCACCATTCCCGTTTTTTTAAACTCGAATTGACAGGGTTCGAGACAGATCAAATGACACTTAACGGTTCTCGAATAATAACTAGTGCTTTCGCCTACCTAGAGAACAGTGGAAGACTCGAATGCAAAGTGCCACTAGCGGTAGCAGTTTTTCCCTAAGACTAGTTTAAATTTTATTCAATGAACGCTGATGGAGATATTTTGAAGACCATATATAAATGAATGTTGACGGAAGACACGTGATTAGACAAAAAACATGTGTAAGAATGTGGGAAGTAGGAATAAGGGGTGAATCCAACAAGGATGGGTGTATGCAAGGAAAAGGACGACATGTATATAATCTGTGTTCTACGAAGGAAAAGTTGGGAAGGAAGATTCTGGAGCTTTTGCCGTAACTACAAGTAGTCTGACTATGGAGGTCATGGCTGTGATTAAAGCAGTAACATGGCTAGAGACACAGACTTTCACTAGGGCATGCTTTCTCAGTGACTCGATGAGTATGCCCAGGAAGATAGAGAAGGGCTGGGTCCGAAGGCAGTGGTTGGTGGCTCTACAGAATTCACGTCTAACAAGGATTAGTTTCATTTCCGTACCAGGACTTGTTGGGGTACAAGGAAATGAACAATCTGATAGGCTTGCAGGTAAGGCTACTGTGTAAGCCAGACACGCCATGGACCAGGCTGATATACTGAATGCTCTAAGAGAGCTAAGACGTTTGCGTAAACCAACTGAGAACTATGAATCTGCAACCATGGTCAGACTGCAAGAACAATATGTTAAACGGGATGTCCCCAAACAAGAACACTACTCGGGTAGCCAAAGAATAATAACAAACCAACACAGAACTGGTGTCGTTAGCCGCTACACGCTTCGGGATTTACTGAGGAGGCGATCTGAGCTCCTATGGACTGAGTGGTACGACGTGCAATGAGGATAAACTAACTAACTAACTAACTAACTAACTAACTAACTAACTAACTAACTAACTAACTAACTAACTAACTAACTAACTAACTAACTAACTAACTAACTAACTAACTAACTAACTAACTAACTAACTAACTAACTAACTAACTAACTAACTAACTAACTAACTAACTAACTAACTACGGCAACGGATAGCATCAACACCTTAAGACATTTGCTGCTGGAGACGGAGCATCTTTGGGTATGCCCGGTGTTCTACGATGTCGATTCTAAAATCAGTAATCTCCAAGATTCTCGAATGGCAGACACAGGGGCCTTACCTAACTGCTAGCACTTGGAAACTATTTGTTTTCAAACTCCCAAAGGAGCAATTATTGTCTAGACAGGAACTGTACCGGATGTAAAATAGGTAAATAGCAGTTCACCAAGTAGGCTTTTCCTGAGCGGGATAACTGACGGAAGCAGCTGCCCAGGGCTGTTCAAAAAGTGGGAAATATGGCGGAATAATTGGGAATTCCATAACAACAGATACAAGATCACATTGACATGTGAATGTTGGATCCTCCCAGTTGCAGACTGAAGCTAGAGAAACCAGCGTATTGAAAACACTGACAACATGAGAGGAAGTAAAAGTAGGTCCCTGGCAATAACTGATAACTGAAAAGATCGTAGATTATAGAATAAAAAAAAAATGAAACAAGCCAATTATTGGACACAAACATGTTGTATATACACGTTTCTATTTTTTCACCTTAGGTATCTTCTTATTCTTCTCTTTCTTTGTTTCCTTTTTAAATATTTTGTTGACATCGGCAGTGTTGTTTCGTCTCCCCCCCCCCTCCCCCTCCCCCAACTGGCCAGGGTTTATGATTAGATGGGTACTCTGAGGTTATGTGTACCGCTCTGTATCGCGGCATCAACCCACACGTTCACGTGGCTGCTGTTCAAGTTTTAAATTCTGTTCTTTTGTTTTTCCCTGCTCACCTGGTCCATTGGATTTATGAAGTATTTACTTGTGTTTGTTTGTACTCGTTACTTCTTTACAAAATCTCAGCAACTTCGTTACATTCGGTCTGTATTTGTGTTTCGAGATAAGCCGTCAGGCTTACTGGCAAGAGTATCGACTTCACTGGCACCGGACTTTACCTCATATGAATCTGTTTCTCTCCGCAAAACGGCTAGCTGCCTAACGAGAGTATCGCACAAAGCACGAACTCTGTAGCTCCATGGGCGATCCATTTTAATCTATGGATCTTCGTACCAATGACATTCCTGAGTCGAGTAAAGCAGTCCGACAACGAACCCACATCCTTAAGAGCTCTAACAACAGCCATTTCACCACGGATGTATCTCCCCCCCCCCCCCCCCCACCCCACCCCCGACAAGAAACACTTCACTGAGTAAATTTTATTGTATGTGTTATTCTTATATTGCATAAACCATTTCATCCAATTATTTATAATAAACAGGAATTCGAATGGCATTCCTCGGCGAGGGCCGAGTGGAATGGACAGACGGTGTTAAGGTTAAACAGAAAAGTAAAGAAGCCAAGACCTCAAAGACAGCCTGGAAGAAGGTTAGAAAGCTGCGGGAAACAGAAATCTACTCAAGAACAACAACAATTTTATTTGGTGCAGGTACGGGCAACGAATAATCACTTGTCTGAATGCTCCTGCTTTGGAATACGGGCAGTAACACTGGTTGTAGTTGCATTGGCAATATTTTATCATATGTAAAGTAAAGCATGCTTTCTACGCCTTCTTTTTTTTTTCTTTTTTTTCAAGTATCCAGAAGCCCCTTAGGCTCGGTATTATGGATATCGCAGCTCTTCTGCCTTGATTCCATGATAGATACATCTGGGAGGAATGTGACTTTTCTGCCTACCCCCGGACGTGAACCCGGACCACAAAGAGTTCGTCACCCAGATAATGGTCTAGACCTATATGTTATAGATCAAACGGCACTTGGAGGTGGGGGATGGCGGGGGAGTGAGCAGGGTGATGTGGCCGGCTTTACATCCCATGACTCCACCAAGTGCCCATTCACGACTGGGACGACCTAGGGGGCTAAACAAGGTTATTTTTGAAAAAGTCTGGTATATGTCAGGACTCTAACCCCAATCTTACTATCTGCAGGCGAGCATCTAGCCGCTACACTACGGCAGCTTTATACTGTACAATGTTGTACTTATATTGACAGCGCCTTGATAGCCGTAGTATTAGGACTGGTATTACAATGATAGTAATCCGAAAGCAATCTTTGACGCCTCTACGCCTTTCCAGGTAATAGTGTTATAGAGGTGTTTTAGTCACGGCCAATAAAGGTCAGGGAGGAAGTTCTTCAAAGCCTGGACAGTACTGAAGAGATTCTGTGTTTCCTATGCATCATGATTCCTCTCTTGGTCTGCCCTCTTTTCTTCAAAGGAAAGATAACACCAAAAGGTTTGGAACAAAAGTAATAAAGGCTATTCAAACAATGATAAATACAAAGATAGTACACTGAAGGTGTCATACTAAAGTTGTACTAGACTAATAGTGGATTGACGGGTATCTTACATAATACATTGAGAGTAATCCTACTAACATTGATATTGCATTTGTAGTACACTGAAAGTCATTACAGTAATAATTTTAATCGCATGTAGAGTACATAGAGTTATAACACTAATATAGGGTGTATGTTTAATGACTGTAGACATTGAAAACATTTATCTGCGCACAGCAATTAAATTTGTGTATTACGTCACGTTTCAAGCGCCATGTAACTGTAAGTTTATAATATCAGTGCTATATACCGGTATCTTAGAGTTTGATCTTTGCTATAATTGTGTTAACTAATGAAGAAAGAGTATTTTTGGTTGCGCAGGTGTTTCCTAATTGTGGCAGGTATTCGAACATATTTGTTCAACAATTTATGATATCATTTCTTTATACTCAAGTGCCTAATCCCAATACAGTCAGCATTTTAACCAGTAGAACAGATTGTAAATAGAGCTGTAATGTGGAAAACTGCACCTAAAATCAAACTAAGAGACCAACTAAGAGTATTTGTTGGGAGCCTCCGTGATGCAGACAGACAGACAGACAGACAGACAGACAGACAGACAGACAGACAGACAGACAGACAGACAGACAGACAGACAGACAGACAGACAGACAGACAGACAGACAGACAGACAGACAGACAGACAGACAGACAGACAGACAGACAGACAGACAGACAGACAGACAGACAGACAGACAGACAGACAGACAGACAGACAGACAGACAGACAGACAGACAGACAGACAGACAGACAGACATACATACATACATACATACATACATACATACATACATACATACATACATACATACATACATACATACATACATACATACATACATACATACATACATACATACATATGTGCATGCATATATACATCATACATACATACATACATACATACATACATACATACATACATACATACATACATACATACATACATACATACATACATACATACATACATACATACATACATACATACATACATACATACATACATACATACATACATACATACACATACATACATACATACATACATACATACACACACACACACACACACACATACATACATACATACATACATACATACATACATACATACATACATACATACATACATACATACATACATACATACATACATACATACATACATACATACATACATACATACATACACACACACACACACATACATACATACATACATACATACATACATACATACATACATACATACATACATACATACATACATACATACATACATACATACATACATACATTACATACATACATTACATACATACATACATACATACATACATACATACATACATACATACATACATACATACATACATACATACATACATACATACATACATACATACATACATACATACATACATACATACATACATACATACATACATACATACATACATACATACATACATACATACATACATACATACATACATACATACATACATACATACATACATACATACATACATACATACATACATACATACATACATACATACATACATACATACATACATACATACATACATACATACATACATACATACATACATACATCATACATACATACATACATACATACATACATACATACATACATACATACATACATACATACATACATACATACATACATACATACATACATACATACATACATACATACATACATACATACATACATACATACATACATACATACATACATACATACATACATACATACATACTACATACATACATACATACATACATACATACATACATACATACATACATACATACATACATACATACATACATACATACATACATACATACATACATACATACATACATACATACATACATACATACATACATACATACATACATACATACATACATACATACATACATACATACATACATACATACATACATACATACATACATACATACATACATACATACATACATACATACATACATACATACATACATACATACATACATACATACATACATACATACATACATACATACATACATACATACATACATACATACATACATACATACATACATACATACATACATACATACATACATAGATCCTGGGTTCAAATCTGGATGCAAACAATGAAAAATAAATCGCAGGAGTCCTTTTGGGGCTCTTGGTGATGTGCAATGCTAATCCATTTCATATGGCACACATACCCTGGTCACAATTATAACCTAAAGCTCCCCCTTTCGGGGTTGCTGGTTGAACGTGACGATTTTTATGTGTGTTTTTTTTCCTAAGCAAAGCATGCCAAGTCCTGGAAAGTAAAAGTGGTCAGCTTGATGTTGATCACATCACTCACCGAGTGTCGATTGGTCTAAAAATGTTTATGTTTATTCGACGAATCAACATCTTGGCACACGGGTGAAACCCATAAGTGCTCCGTTCTACTTCTAACTCAAGCCTGAGTCTGATGAATTTCAGGTTGCACTGGCGAGGTTCTTGAAATACTTTAGGTAGATTTTTAACTCCGAATTTTGCCCGGGCAGCCTTGTTAGGCTACTCTTTTCGATTCCAACTGCCTAGGAATTTTTTTTTTTTTTTTGCGTGCGCAAGAATGCACACGCGCGTCCGATCTTACTACACAAAGACATGGTGAAATTTCTAGATGTCCCAGTGAAAAAATCCTAGCCATGCACACGCGCGTCCGATCTTACTACACAGAGACCAAGTGAAATTTCTAGATGTTCCAGTGAAAAAATCCTAGCCTTCACTGGGGCTTGAACCAGGGACCTCCAGCACTCGATGAGGACACCATACCTCGAGACCACTCAGCCACCCAGATATATTTTTTATATGGTCTATAAAATAAAGATCAGCAAATTTTAGGCTGGTCTCCCCATCAGCACTCCATTGATAAGTTGGTTGGACTAGCCTACCGTGGTCGAGGTTATGGATGTCGCAGTCTGTTGTCTGGTATTTACGTTTTTATTTCCGAGAAAGAGACGGCCCGTGACATAGGTTTTTGACACTCTCAGGGGGGGGGGGGGAAGGGAGGGGGGGGGGGTTGTGTAGTCGAGAATGTTTTAGAAGTGGGTGTGTGTTAGACCTAGTATCTAAATGTTTTAGAAGTGTTAAAAGCTCTGGCATGGTGAAATATACAAAACGCGGTATGAGCGCGAGGGCAGAACATCCCCATGACCTTGTGTGACACTCGGATCGGTCGGGGCCGATCTATCAGAAGTACGCTTGTCTGTAGGTCGTCCAATCAGAAGCGAGCTAGTGTCTAGCGGTGTGCTAATGGGGAGACGAAAGAAAATTTACCTAAAGGTCCAGCACTCTATGCTCAGTATGTCTGAAGGAGTGGGAAAAAGCCCTTTACTTTATACAATATAAACGGGCAGCATCCCGGCGTATGGCAAATGACGTGTTTTCCAATGACATCCACAGATCCCGAGAGCACATTCAACTACATCCTCCCAGCGGGCAATCACATCATGCCGTTTGAGCTTCCGGTGCCATCCGATCTCCCATCCTCATTTGAAGGCACCCACGGTTACGTCCGTTACTGGCTGGAGTGTATCTTGGACGTTGCCGGGAATGCGGAGCAGATCACTAAGAAGGCATTCACGGTGATTAGCAAGTGCAACCTGAACACGGATCCGTTGGCAGACGTGGGTCGATCGTTTATTTATAGTCTAAGCATTCTATCTAATCTATCTATCTATCTATCTATCTATCTATCTATCTATCTATCTATCTATCTATCTATCTATCTATCTATCTATCTATCTATCTATCTATCTATCTATCTATCTATCTATCTATCTATCTATCTATCTATCTATCTATCTATCTATCTATCTATCTATCTATCTATCTATCTATCTATCTATCTATCTATCTATCTATCTATCTATCTATCTATCTATCTATCTATCTATCTATCTATCTATCTATCTATCTATCTATCTATCTATCTATCTATCTATCTATCTATCTATCTATCTATCTATCTATCTATCTATCTATCTATCTATCTATCTATCTATCTGTCTGTCTGTCTGTCTGTCTGTCTGTCTGTCTGTCTGTCTGTCTGTCTGTCTGTCTGTCTGTGCTGTCGGTCGGTCGGTCGGTCGGTCGGTCGGTCGGTCGGTCGGTCGGTCGGTCGGTCGGTCGGTCGGTCGGTCGGTCGGTCGGTCGGTCGGTCGGTCGGTCGGTCGGTCTGTCTGTCTGTCTGTCTGTCTGTTTGTCTGTCTGGCATGCAACTGCTTTGTGAATGATGAGTGTTTGAAAGGGCCGAATGTAAGAAAGTTTGAAAATAAAGTTTATTCGTTCGTTCTATCCATTTGTCTGTCTCTCTGTCTGTCTATCGATCTGGTCCAAGTCTGGTATAGGCAGCACAGCGTTGGGAAGAAGTTTATTGTGCTATAGTTTCCTCATCATGGAGTTCTCTGTTTTGGTTATTACTGATACATCCTTACCCGCATAGGATGCGGATTACACCAGTCTGTTGTAAACGTTACAAATGACTTAATTATAGCTTCTTTAGAGACTGAACGGGCTATCTGCGATCTGCCTTGTTTGACTGCTATCCAAACATACACCCCCCCCCTTCCCCGCCCCTCAATCTCAGGTTGGCGGAGAAGAAACAAAATGGATCGACCGATTTCTACGGATGCACATTTGTTTGTCATTTTTGTTTTGTTTTACCACCTTAAAAAAAAAACGTTTTTTGGACCTTTTTTGTTTTGTTTTCCGGCCCATCTACAAACATTCTCAATCTGATCTAGGTCAGAGGGGTGTCACGTTGTACTGCTTTCTTTAAAAAAAACAAGAGTCTCTCGTGTGACCTAGGCTGAGACTGTGGATAGGACGGTTTGGGTTAGGGTCAGTTCTACATGTTCTAGGGTCGTCGAAAGCTGTGTCGTCATGTAGTATAAAACACGCGACATCAGCGCCGATGTCATTGGAGGCAAGACAATGTGACACCCCTCCGACGTAAAAGAATCTGAGAAAATATGAATCGACGGTCAGGTAGTGTGTAGATGGACCGGGAAACATTAACAGGACCGTGTTTTATGTTTACAGAAAGAAATCAAGCGACAACAGAAAGTGTCCGTGTGCTGCGCTTGTTGTACTCCAGGGTACTATGACATTAGGTACTGCGTGGCTAGGCGGGGCTACGTGCCTGGGGAAAAGATCCTTGTTGACATCAGAGCAAGAAACTATACCAATAATATTGTACATCTGGTCCTGAGGTTCAAAATGGTATGTTGGTCGAATGTTTTTGTACACATCATCGCCCTCCTCCTCTTCCTCCTCCTCCTTGTCGTCTTCCTCATCTCATCATCATCATCATCATCACCATCATGTTGTCGGTTTCAAAAGAAAAGAAAAACGAATGTAGAAGTTATTTAATCATGTGCATCCACAGGCCTTACAAAGCTCTTTCTCTGTCTGTCTGTCTGTCTGTCTGTCTGTCTGTCTGCCTGTCTCTCTTTCTGTTTGTCTGTCTCTCTCTTTCTCTATGTATCTATATATATATATATATATATATATATATATATATATATATATATATATATATATGAAAGCATGCTGGAGACCCGGCAAATTTGACCCAACTATACAGAATTCGCAGCCTAGCCGCAAACCACAAAATAAAGTGAAATTCTCTTTTAACGGCAAACTTAGAAGAAAAAAGTTAATTATTTTTTTGATAATTTATGCTCCCATTGTAAAGATGAAGGTAGTTTCCTGGCAGATACTGCCAGGAAATGGTAAGTCTTCGCGTAAATTCGTCAGACTCTTAGTGCAGTGGTTTTCAACCTTTGTCAACCCTATTATAAATGGCAAGACTCCCATGCCCCTCCTCTGTCCCCACCCTCAAACCGACTTTAAAAACATGTAATTAAAAAGAGGAGACCAAAAATAAAATCATCCCAAGCACTATTAACAAGAACTTGGAGAAAAACATCCACATAAATCGAAATGTCAAAAAACATTTAAAAACCTGGAAACTTATTGTCCTAATATCAATGTGACGAGTGACACTGTTTTGTCTTGATAACTGTTTTTTTTTTTTTTTTTGGGGGGGGGGGGGGGCAGGGGGACGTGGCCCAAAAAAAAGGGGGCGGGGGGGGGGGGTCTGATGGTGGACAAGGCACAACGGAGATCAATCCCCACATCAAGATGGCAGCAGTTTTTTAAAATATTTTTTAAATAACATCACAATTTATAATGAAATGAAAAAATGTGAGCATAACCAATTTTCACTAGTACAAATGCAAAAAATTTCAAAATTTCTGCCTTGAAAATTCCTTCCTTCCCCCCCCCCCCCCCGGTTGAAAACCGCTGGTTTAGCGAGATAGAACTACTCTTTCCTGCAGAGACATTTAACCAGAAATGTGTGACTGTTATGGCAGCCCTCTATGAACACACAGGGAATCCGCGGCATCACAGTGGCTAGGTCCTATGATGAATCCCCCGAAAGTCTTGAGTTCAAATCCAGCATCGAAGAATTTTTTTTTTTTTTTTTTTTTTTTAGAAATTTACTTTGGCGCCCAGCAAAAAATGGGTATAGGCAATGTCATGGGAAACAAAAGCGGCCGGTTCGATACTGTCCACATCACCCACCGAGAGCCAATTGGTCTATAAAATGAGTCTAACATCATATGCTCCAAACATCTGGCGTATGAAGGGTCCTTGACTGACTGACTCTCTACCCCACCAGGACATCACACAAGCCATAAACACCCGATGACACAAAGTGCCACCATGTGGATGATGATCACCGTGGAGAGGTCCCAGAAACCGCGTTCAGCTTTTAGGCCATATTTATGGCCAGGCTATATCGCGGCCCCTGGCAAGAGCCAGAGTAAGGCTTCAAATAACGAACAGTTGCATCCTAATAAGGACGAGAATTATATAGAAGGGTCCTTTATTTCTGTTCTCTTAAATCGGTATCGTAATGCCGGGTGCCGGGTTCGATCCCAGCTACGGGCCTTGCGCCCTGCGTTAGTTTCGACAGTGGTATCGAGAAGCCGAACGTCAAGAATGCAATGGCAAACTACTAGACTTAAATTTGCCTAGAAAAAACACAACAGCCAAAAAATGCTGGAGTTGGTTCTGCAACGTCCTGTTAAGGATACGCAACTAAAGTCTGTATCTAGCGTGCGTTTTTTAAATTTAAATAATTGCAAGGTGAGAAGATCTTCAGATGATTGGGAGACAAGGCGAGAGTCGCCTGTGGACGACACAGAGAGACAGAGAGACAGAGAGACAGACAGACAGACAGACAGACAGACAGACAGACAGACAGACAGACAGACAGACAGACAGACAGACAGACAGACAGACAGACAGACAGACAGACAGACCTACCGGACAGACAGACAGACAGACAGACAGACAGAGAGACAGACAGACAGACAGACAGACAGACAGACAGACAGACAGACAGACAGACCGACCGACCGACCGGACAGACAGACAGACAGACAGACAGACAGACAGACAGACAGACAGACAGACAGACAGACAGACAGACAGACAGACAGACAGACAGACAGACAGACAGACAGACAGACAGACAGACAGACAGACAGACAGACAGACAGACAGACAGACAGATGGAGTTTGGTAGGTAGGTAGATGACTGTCTTTCTGGCTTTTGTCCTAGCGTCACTTGCATTATTTAATTGCTATGAAACCCAGTTACATTACTCATATAATAATCCACCCAAATGTAATCACACATACAGAAATAGATTCACATACAAACATATGAAAACACACATATTATGTCTATATGTCTCTCACACTAACACATACACTATCTATATTTCCTATATGTCTATATGATAAACATATGTATGTGTATATATGGTGTCAGGTGACCAGCTATCATGCTCAAGGAAAGTGTTTAAGAGTGAAAAAGACACTGCAGGAAGGGGAGAAAATTTTAGAAACTTCCGAAACATTGAAATGGAATCCTGAAATACCAGTCCCTCCACTTCCTCCATCTGGCCTAGGTGGCAGCAGAGTGATAGACATTGGATACTGGCTAGAGGTGAGTGCGTCTAGAACTATATTGAATTCTTCTTCTTCTTAGCGTTCACTAGTTGTAAACTCTGGCGGAAGGTTCTGGTTGTTCGTCCACTTCTGGACTGTAGTCCTGTTCCAGAACTTGAGTGTTGCGTGTGCATCCGTTGGACAGATCTGACTAATTTGTATGCAGATTGTTGGTTCCTTGCCTCTCAGGCATAAGCACTGTGAATTTAAAGAAAGCTCCCATTTAGTCGACTTTTTCGACAAGATTTTGGGTAGGCTGTGGGTCTATTCTTGTTTTCCTTATAACAGGGCCCCGGAACCCACACTAGGAATATAGAATTGAAAAAGAAATACCACGCTGTTATTTAGTAATGAAGGTGAATGTTTCTAACAATGACAGAATACATCTACAGTGGTACCTTGATATACGCCTTTGATCCGTTCCGGATCCTTGGACGTATACCAAAAAGGACGTATATCAAACAAATTTTGCTCATAAGAAAAACGCCCGTCTCTCTAGCGTAGTTGACTAAACCGGATTGCGCGGTGAGCGGGTGACGAACTCCTTGTTTTCCGGGTTCACTCCCGGGGGTGGGCAGAAAAGCCACATTTTCCCCAGATTTACGATATTTAGGAATAAACTCACAGGGAGCAAGTACAGCAGGGATCTACCAGTCATCAGTAGAAGATATCCTCGTCGACAAGTGTTTCGGTCCACGATTCTCCTAGACACTTTCAGAGGTGGGCCCACCTGAGTTCATGAAGATCAGGGCTGGTACCCTGCTGCACGAGATTATCGGATGGTGTTTTTTTTTTTCGGATAGAGACAAGACGACTTGGTGATTTGCAGAAGGTACTGTGAGATAAGAAGTCGTTGCGGCAGCCTAATTAGAACAGTCAGCATGCCTGGACGACCGAGCGACAAGCTTACGTTTGGTTTACCGGACACATGTTGGACTTTTGTTAGCAGGTGGCAGAGGAACACTGGCAGACAATTCGGACACGATGGGCTTTCAAAGGGTGAGAAACCCTTTTCCACTAGAAACCCGGACCAGCTCACCGAGGCCCGTCCCCTACGTTTTTCCGTTGCGTCCAAAGCCAACTCGAGGCCCTTTCGGTTGCCTCACCCAGTTTTGTAAGTGTTCGTTTTCGTTCGTTACCGCGCAATCCTAGTTCTTTAACTACACTGTACAATGAAGTGGAGACGAGACCTCGCGCTCCCACTTCGACGGCAAAGACACGTACTGTGTACGCCTCGTTTCTCCTCAGACCGGCTGCTAAATCACTGTATTTCTCGAGCTTGTACAGGTGATTTTCGTCCAAACGCGACTCATACGGGACGGTCAACTCAATCAGGATGAGCTGCCGTTTTTCCGCAGAGTGGAGAACTATGTAAGGTCGCAGACCGGTCTTCCGGATTAACTCGGGGTACCGTTCATGGCCTGGCAGATCAACCGCCAGTAACCAGTCCCTCGCAGAGTCTAGCACAGATGGAGCGAATGCGTTTCGGTTGACCTTACCTTTTTTAATCTGCCCAGCCTTGAGGAAACGAATGGGGACGATGGTAGAACTGGCTCTAGCGTTAGCCCTCATTCTAGCCTGGCCAACAACGGCTGCTAACTCCTTTAGCACCTTGTTGTGCCTCCAGGTATATCGGCCTTGGCCTAGGGCTTTCCTGCACGCGGACAGGACGTGTTCAAGCGTCTGCTTCGCTTTACACAACTGGCAAGTCGGATCGTTAGTCGCAGACCATTTAACCATGTTAACACCGGACGGTAATACATCGTACGCCGAACGAACGATAAAGCTCAGTCGCAACGGGGTCATTCGCCAGATCTCACCCCATGTGAGTATTCTTGGCAATGCGCTCTCCAGGCTGACCCAATGGCCCTGCTGCGACTGCTGGGCTGCTTTTTGGAAACGAACCTCGTTTTCGTTGTCCCTCACCTGTTGTATCACCATGTCTCGGCATTCTTTGGCTGAGGCATTTGACCACCAATTGACCTTTCCGTGCCCTAGGCCTCGACGGTCGGTTTGAGTGTATCCCATTATCTCTCTCAATTTTAGTGCATTCTGCGCAGATTCAACCGCATCGAGGACCCTCCACTTCTGGCCAGTCTTTAGAGCGGACTGGACAGCAATGACATTTGGGTCTGAAGACTCGCTCAAGAGCATGGCGAGTCTTACTTTGCCAACTTTAAACTCTTCAGTTATCGATTTGAACGGGAGTACCAGCTTAGCCTGCTTGCAATACAGAGCCACGTCAGGATTCAGGATTCAGGATTCATAAGAACAAAAATTCCAAACTTGTGACTTCTTTCAGCTGCCTGACGGCTTGCTATATCAAAGTCGGTTGCAGTTGTGGTCTGACTTGAATTTCTTTCTTGTGGCGATCATTTTCGCCTGAGTTTTCTGTAATTGGTTGCGAATTGTTAGCAGCGTGGGCTTGGCGTGCGGCTTGCAAGTTTAGGGAGTGGGCGTGGCTGTCCTGAGAAGGACAGCCACCTGTGCCGGGTGGCCTGGAACGGGATGGGAGGGGTATGGCTTCTGCAGCAGTCAGGTTCTGGTGGTGTCCGGATGGTCTTGCGCGGGTGGGTTTTCCGGTTCGGTGAGCTGGGTCGGTGTCATGGCGGCTGAGGTCAGTTCTGGTTGGCTATTGGTTGCATGGTTTCGCTTAATTCCCTTCGAGCAGCGTTTAGAAGACTGAGGGCTATGCCTGCTTGATACATCATCCTTTTGTTTTTGTCTCGTTTGGCTCTGAGAGTTGCGGTTGGGAGTAATCGCTCCCTTGCGAGTTCTTCCTTGCAGAACTGTATTCTGTATTTGCCAATGCCCTGCTCGAGTCGATGGGGGTGCATCCGCTGGTTAAAATCATCGAGCATTTCTTGTAGGCTGACTTCTCTGTCCGCTATGTCCTTCAATGCAGCCGCGTGTACGGGATCGCAGTACTGGTTCGTGGGTTGTACTGCTTCCTGTTCCTCTTCTTCATCTCCTTGAGAATCTTCTTCTTCTGCTATGACTAGGATCTCTTCAGAGTCGTCTTCATTGACAGTGCCTCCCTCATCGGTTTCTGTTTCTGTACTTTTGTCAGCCCTGCTGATGTTTGCTTTGGCGGCTGGTGCCTTGTTTTTCTCTGCTAGTAAGAGTTCTTGTTCTTGTTTTGATTCTCGCGTAGCTGCTTCTGCTTCTGCTGTTGTTTTTACTAGCAGGGCGACTTCTCTGTACGCGGACTCTCTTGCTTCGTTAAGTAAGGCCGTTTCTGCCTTTCTTTCTTCTCTTTTTGCTAGTCGGTAGGTTGCTGCCTGGTCCTGTTCTGTCTTCAGCTGTATCAGGAGGCCTTGGAGTTTTTTGTTTGCTTCAGTTACTTCTGCTAGCAGCTTGGTGTGGTGCGCAGCTTCTGCTATTCTGTCTCGCTTCTGGGCTCTGACTTCGTCTAGTGTTTGGGAGATTAGTCCCAGCATCTCGAGTCTTTCAGCGGTGGCCTTCTCTTTGTCTGCTGTCAGCTTCTGGACTGCGATTTTGAGTGCTCTCACTTCCTGTGTTGTCGCGTTGTTGTTTGTGACTGGAATCACCTCTGGCTGTCTGGGCGCCTGGTATGTGTCTCTGGCTGAGGCGGCTGTCATCTCTCTCCTGCACTTCTTGAGGTATGGGCACCCCAGGTACCTCGCACTGTGTGGGCCTGAGCAGTTGCTGCATTTCCGCTTTTTGTTAGGCTTTTTGAAGTCGCTATCAAGTTTCGCTAGCGGGCACTCCTTGAAGTCGTGGGCTCCCGAGCAGTACCGACAAATAGGGTCACTGCGACACTGAGCCACGTCGGTATTTAAAATGGAATCAAGGCCGAAAGGTTGCGAAATCCATAATACCGAGCCTAAGGGTTAACAACTCATGGCTTCTGGATACTAAAACAGCTCATAAGAAATAAATATAGAATAGTGTATCCGTTCCTGTTAAAGAAAGATAATAATGTTATTGGCATATTATACATTGATAGGGTTGTATATAAATAAGTTCTGGTTAATTCATAATTACAACAACAATTAGATAAAATAAATGGAGAAAAAAAAAAACTTAACCTCATTATACCCCGCTGAGGTAGTGGTGAGAAAGGGGGGGGGGGAGGAGCAAATATTGTTGTTTTGAATAAAAGTCCACTTCCCAAAATACTTCAGAAATCTGAAATTCTTTTGTGTGTCACCCCCCTCCCCAACCCCACCTCTCCCCCGGTCTCTTTTCACTATTTTGACCTGGTTGAGGTTCATCAGATTTGGCTTTTACCAACTGAAAAAAAAATGTCCAAAGAACTTTGCTTCTGCGTTTTCCTGAAGATGTTTAGGAAATTTGACACTGTTTGGTCATTTCAGACAATACTATTACTGCTTGGATGGGCTTTGTTGGGGTGGTACTTATATGCCAAGCTTTTGACATTCATTTTCTGAGCGCTGTGTTGTGACTCTTTGTGCCTCACACAAATTCTAGCACGCGAGTCGTACTGCAAAGGTGGTAAAGCAAACAACATGTTTTTTTCCGACTCAGCAGGAAGTATATCAGGTTCGACTTATTCGAAAGCGGACTTAGGGCAATGTACCTCTGCATGCATAGCAATGAATTTGTCAGTACTAATAGAAAGAAGTAGACAAAATGACACAAAAGACACGAAAAAAATAAAATCGCAGCTATAATTACCATAACGGAAATAGAAGGTGTGGACATAATGTCTTTCTAGATTTCTACTCCTCTCTAAGAGTGCCTATATAAATTGTCAAAAACGGCCTCAAGGGTCCCTCGTGTGTTTACTTAGTTACATATTGTGGAGTTAGCACTTTGCAATATTTTGTTGGCGGTTAGTGTATCCGTAAATATGTTTACTATATAATACTTACTTACACAGTAAATACAAGTAAAGGACCTATTTTACGCCACTGGCGTTCGGATAAATGATGGCAGACTCATATTTTTTTTAAAGACTATCAGACACTAGGTGGGTGATGTGGTTAACATACGTAGAGCTGGAAGCCACTATTGTGTTACTAAATGTGAGCGCATTTGATTACAGTGTTTTGAAGCTGACGTTTACAGCCTAGGTCTGCAAATACGAAGATGCTTTAAACGAATATAATAGACGCCGCAGTCATCTGTAACTGTCATTTTGACGTTACCGTGTTTGCCTGCACAGTGATGTCATCTGCTCAACACTCTTGACATCCTTACCAACAATATTGACAGGTTATAAGACAATAACATAGTTAATGTTATTTCTATCATACTTTTGAGGTTTTCATTTGAAGCCCCTCATAAACAGTAAAGAACTTATTTTCACGCTTTGAAGCGTAATGGATGTATAGTTTTTGGCGTCATAAGTTTTAGACTTTAGACCAATGAGGACATGATGTTTGAATATTTTAGATGAATGAGTAATTTACAAGAAATATAATGTGTCGTTCTATGTGTTAGACGTAAGTAAAATTTTTTTTTAAATTACATTTCAGGTAGATATGTATTCCAAAGCATTCTTTTCCGATTCTTTGCATTTTAATGACGAAATAAAGATTGGAACTCTACCACTGAAGCATGTTATGGAAACCACGACAGTACAACATGGAAGAAGTTCTGGAGTCGGGGCTGATCACTTGCTGCCAGTCGGTTTTCCTGTACCAGAGTCTCGTTCTCTCCCAGTTGCCTGTAAGTCACATATGTATTATCAATTTCCAAATAGGCATCAATCATGCATACGTAGATTTGCAGATCAGGATAACAAATGTAGTCACTTAACTGCGTAAATCTTACCTTGGCATATCACCATAAAAAACAGGTTCCTATTTACTTTTCCCGGCCCATCTACACACTTTCTCAGTCTGCTCCAGGTCAGAGGGGTGTCACGTTGTACTGTTTTCTTCAAAAATAGTATCTCGTTGGACCTAGGCTCAGGCTGTGGCATCCACCTCGTGTGCTGGAGGCTCTGGGTTCAAGCCCTTGTGAAGGCTGGAATTTTTTCACGTGGACTTCTAGTAATTTCCCCTGGTCTCTGGGTAGTAAGATCGGACGCTCGTGTGTATTGTTGCGCAAGTAAACAATTCTTTGGCAGTTGGAAATCGAAAACGGTGCTGCCTGTGCAAAATTTGGAGTTAAAAGTCTACCTAGAGTATTTCAGGATCCTCGCCGGTGCTAAGGAGTACGTGCACTGCGCTGAGTTTCATCGGTTTGAGTCAGAAGTAGGGCGGAGCGTCTATGGGTTACTACCCCTGTGCCATGATTTTGATCTGTCGTATAAACCTATGGGTATGGGGGTTTGGTTTAGGGCCAGTATTAGGTGTTATGGGGTCGTTAAAAGGTGTATAGTCGTGTAATATAGAAGACGCGACATCGGCACAGATGTAACTGGAGGCAAAAAAACATGACACCCCTCTGACGTAGTACAGTATGAGAAAGCCTTAATGAAAGGTCAACCAGTGTGTAAATGGGCCAGGAAACGTGAATAGGACCAACAATTGTAACTGAAGTCTGAAATATGTCCCCTTTATCCGGAAGGAATAAAAGAAAGGCGGGAAGGGGTGGGGGAAATTAAATGCTACCTCTTCGTCCATATTTTCAGTAGACTTTCTAGAAGATATGTTTACATCACATTTGTTAATATAGTCCAAACCGTAATGTATTGGCCTGCGTGTCTATTGACAACCTTATGAGCATTTACAACAAACAGCCTTACACGTTGTTATGAAAAGGAAGCCCCTATGTGTATTCTGGGGATTTAGTTTATAATTTGGAATAATACACTCTCTGCCCTCCTCCCTCCACAACAAGCATGTTTGAGTAGGCGACTAATTAGGGCTGTTTCAAAGTTGGAGTGCATCTGCCTAAAAGGCAAGCAACCAGCAGACTACAACTGAAGTTATGGATCAAGACCAAAGTCTTAGTGTGGACGAGCAACCAGAGCTTTCCACCAGATTTTAGAGCCGCTGAACTCTAAGAAGAAGAAGGAAAGGCAACAGGTCTAAAAATTATGTCGTCCAAAGACATAAGGGTTTAATCCTGGGATATAATGCATTTTCAGTATTCACACTTATCGCTGTTTTTAATTTATCTCATTTATTCATTTCCCTCAACAACAACAAAACACACACACAAAAAAAACACACATCAAACACTGACAGTCATTTATGATCAAATATATTTTCAGCCCCTCTGAGAAAAAATATTTTCAACTGGATCCCAAGCAAGGTGGAATCACCAAGACCACCTAATGGTTACCAGGTTTACAACGGTCAGATAAAAAAGCATTCAAGTCCGTCGAACTCGTCGCTGTGGTAACGTGTCGCCTGATAGATGTATTGATTGTTTGTATTAATACGAGACTAGGTTATTCTATTTTTAAGTATTAATTTGTAGTTAATTTATTGTCGCAGAAAACAATCAAATTGCAGCTAAAATCAGTATATGAACTAGTGATAGACGCAAACGTAAATTTAGAGAAGGACATAGTCTTTTTCCTTTGTGACCCACGAAGTAAAAGATACAGATTGGGGGACTAAATGACAGGAGAGGTGTAGACGAACACTGTGACGTCATAATAATGGTTGCCCAACTTTTGATATTCAGAAAAGAGTAGCAGCGTTCAGTTATAAGGAGTGAGTGTGGACTATAACAATTCACCAACGAAGATCCAGTATGGTGGTACAGTGGAACCTCGCTGAACGAGCATAATTCATTCCAGAGTCAAACTCGTTATGCGAAACAATTTTTCTCACATAAATTAATGTAAAATATGATAATGCGTTCCATGTCTAAAAAAAAAAAAAATTCACAAAATGCTATGTATAACGTTTATTCAAAGAAAATTATATACATATTGTTAAGGAGAGTGAATAATCATCTTTTCTTCCACCGCGGTACTACTCACCTGGAATGCGAATTCGATTTGCAGAAAAAAAAAGTCGAAATAATTATGATACATAGCTAATTATTTTGTTACTAGAGAAATTTGTTTTTGCCGACGCTTCAAAATTTGGCGAACATGCGACACAGGATTATCATTAAATAAATGTGCAGATCGCATAGCCACTTCCGTATTAGGGTGATGCTTCTCAATGTAAGATGCAACAGTTTCCCATGCTTTCAGCATTTCTCTTATTTAGCCAAAAGATTGTTGCTTTTCTGTTACCTTCTCCTCCTCCTCCTCCTCCTCCTCCTCCTCTGACAAACTTTCCTCCAAAACTTCTTGCTGTGAAACACAATGCAACTCCATAAGCTCTACGGTGGTCAGCTCTTGGCTGTGCTATTTCACAAGCTCTTCGATATCACTATTATCCAACTACAATCCCATGATAGTGGCAAATACACAATTTCGTTGACTACAGGTTCCACAGGTACTGTCTCAAACCCTTCAAAGTCACAAATCGACAACGCTCTCCGGTCAAGGCTTCTTCCAAGCAGAAGTTAGGGTTCTCTTGGTAACCCCTTCCCCCGCCTTGTCGATCATCTTGAGGCAGGCAACGATGTGGAAGTGATTTTTCTAACTCTTTGAAAGTGAGGTTGATTCCTTCAGTCACCCGAAAACAATGCTCGAAGAGTGCTTTAGTGTAGAGCTTCTGAAAGTTAGAAATAACTTGCTGGTCCATGGGCTGGAGTAACGGAGTGGTTTTGGAAGGCAGAAACTGAATCTTGATGAACTTGAACTCTTCAGGGAGGTCATCTTGTAGGCCTAAAAGGATTCATGTACATTTTGTTTTTTTTGGGTCAAAATCTGCTTGTGCCGCTAGGCGTCGCAGTCTATTAGATGATCGGCAACCGAGCAAGGGCGCGCTCAGTCGCTTCATATTCATGTACATATATCACAATAAAACACAAGTTTGGGAAAATGTGTGATCACAAGCGACACTACGATGCTACTGGAACGAGCGCTAAACACAGACTGATGTAACATGCGTACTATCCGGGACTTCCCATCTTCTCGCCACTCGTTATGTGAAACGTCGCTCGTTAAGCAAGTCATTCTTTTACAATTTGCTTTGCTCGTTATACGAATTACTCGCTATGAGAGGTGCTCGTTAAGCGAGGTTCTACTGTATTTGCCTGTTAGTCCAGCAAGTGTATTAGTCGAATCGGAAGTTTCAAAACGCACAGTCGATTGCAGGAATTGAAGGCCTTGTACAGGGAAACCGCTGATTACCGTCTGTGAGACTGTTGCACATCAAGACATCAGTCAAGGTTCAGCACATCGCTTCATCCATGATGTACTATAGTATCCTAAAGTGTCTGCAGGGTGGGTAAAACTGCAACTGACTCCTGAACTGAAGAAACGATGCATTGCTGCTTGTTAAGAACTTGTGTGGTGTTTTTATGTAGAAGGTAATGATTTTCTATCAAGAATTGTCAATGGAGATGAAACCGAGCTCACTACCAAGAGCTGGCAACGAAGAGAGAGCCAGCAACAAAAGGCATGACCCCTCCTTACCCCAACTTTCAACTGTCATTTTGAGGCCACTGTGTTCGTCTGAATCGCGATGTCACGAGCTTAACATTCTTGGCATCCTTAACAGGGATATTGACAGGCTACGAGACATTGGCCAAATCATTGTAATTTCTATGACATTTTGAAGGTTTTCGCTTCAAGCCCCCCTCTTACCTACAGAGAGAGGATATATATATTATACATAATGTGTGTGTGTGTGTGTGTGTGTGTGTATGTGTGTGTTAGGGCTGTACCGAATATTCGCTTCGTATTCGCTTCGGGGCCGAATAGTGGATCTAATAACTATTCGGTATTCAGCCGAATACTTGCGGTCGGGCCGAATACGAATAGTGGTTACCTTATACCCTTTTCTGCATACAATGCGATAGACTAAAATAACTCTTTCATTAACACAATAGTTGCTGTTGCCCAAGTCTGTCGTAGCGGGGGCAACTGCGACCCGATTGCGTGGTACAGCATTCAGTTCTAACATATGACTGTGAGTCCTGGACAATCGGTAGGCAGGCCAAAATATTTCTTGAGGCCTTAGAGATGTGGTTTTACTGAACAATGCTTAGAATACCATGGACAGCAAAAAAAAAAAAAAAAAAAAGCAATCAAGCGGTTTTAAAAGAGGCGGGAGCCCCAAGACAACTAGTCACAGACATCAGAAAGATACAGTCATAATTTTTCGGCTATGTTATAAGAGGGAAAATGGAACGTGTGGTGACCACTGGAAAGATCTGTGGGAGAAGAGATAGAGGAAGACAACGAGAGAAGATTCTTGACAGTCTTGTTGCATGGCATGGAGGTGTGTCTGCACACGAAATAATACATGCTGCAGGAGATCGCAGATTGTGGCAAGGCCCACGCCAGTCGACCAGGCACCTGATGATAACGATGATGATGATAGACTATTCGTATTTGTTTTCGGCCGAATAGTTAGCTGGTCCTGCTATTCGTATTCGGCCGAATAGTGAAAATCCCTATTCGGTACAGCCCTATTATATATATATATATATATATATATATATATATATATATATATATATATATAGAGAGAGAGAGAGAGAGAGAGAGAGAGAGAGAGAGAGAGAGAGAGGTAAAAGAGGGGGAGATAGAATTAGATGACATATAGGGAGCTGCAGGAGAAAGCAAAAAGAGGGTTGACAATGCACTTCTAAAAAAAAAAAAAGTGCAGAAGAATAGGAAAAAAGTTATCACAAAAAGACATAGTATGATGAAGTTGATGACACATGGAACTGAAACTTTTCAACTGTCCTGTCACACTCAGAGAACAGTTAGTCTTCATCACAGTGTATTCTTTAGTACAAAGATGCATCAGTACTATTTTATTGTCACATGCATTGGATCTGCATTAAAATGACGTCTACTTCGTAACAACAGTTTCGGCATTTTGTGTGTGTGTGTGTGTGTGTGTGTGCGTGTGTGCGTGCGTGCGTGTGTGCGTGTCTGTGTGTGTGTCTGTGTGTGTGTCTGTGTGTGTGTCTGTGTGTGTGTGTGTGTGTGCGTGCGTGCGTGCGTGCGTGCGTGTGTGCGTGTGTGTGTGTGCCTGTGTGTCTGTGTGTCTGTGTGTGTGTGTGTGTGTGTGTGTGTGTGTGGTGTGTGCGTGTGTGTGTATGTGTGTGTGTGGTATTCTCTCCATAGTCTCTGAAAACATTTGTAACTGATGTTTGTTTTGTGTGTTTAACTTTCATGAGACACGAGTGTCGTTGTTCCAGTGAAACATGACCTATTCTTCTGTATATGCACATCTCAAGAAACTCAGTTCACTGTACAGGTCTTTACACCATGCACTAGTGCTGAGCGTATTTAACATTTGACAATGTCCATGTTTTTGTTTTTGTTTTTGTTACTTTAGTAGTCATTCCACTTGTGGGATGCAATTTTTCGTTATTTTGAAGCCCCACCCTGGCTCTTGCCAGGTGCTGCAATATAGCCCGGCCTTAAATATGGTCTAATGGCTGAACGCGGTTTCTTTGACCTCTCCACGGTGATCCTCATCCACATGGTGGCACTTTGCGTCATTGGGTGTTAATCGCTTGTGTGATGTCCTGGTGTGGTAAAAGTACTGCTACTACCATGTTTTTTTTTTTTTTTTTTTTTTTTTTTTTTTTTTTTTGATTTTTTAAGTCAAAAAATCCAAATATATGGGAACAATCATATCATCAGATGGAAAATGTGTGACAGAGATTAAAAGCAGAATATGTCAAGCGAAAGTTGCATTTCAGAAGATGAAAAATATCTTATGCAGTAAATTGCTCTCATTTAATGTCAAAAAGAGGGTTCTAAAATGTTACATAGTACCTGTTCTGCTGTATGGCAGCGAATCTTGGAATGTCAGTGAAAAAAATTAAGAAACATTTGGAAGCAACAGAGATGTGGTTTCTGAGTCGAATGTTTTGAATACCTTGGACGGCCAGAGCAACTAACAAAGATTGTTTGAAAGAAGCTAATGAAAGTAGATCTCTATATACAACAATAAGAAAGAGACAAACAGCTTTATATAACAATAAGAAAAAGACAGACACTGTTCTTTGGCTACATAATGAGAAGAGAGACATTGGAGAACATTGTGACAACTGGAAAGATCAGTGGAAAAGGGGCAGAGGCAGACCAAGAGAGAAGATGCTAGATGGGCTGAAACGATGCCATGGAGGAATATCACCAAGAGAGTTGTTCTAAGCCACCAGGGATCGTGATCTGTGGAGACACACGGCCGCCTACGCCATGATGATGATGAATGTCCATTTTCATGTGGTGTTCATCTCCCTGGAGGTAAATAATTTAGGCATTTTATTTAGGATACTTTTGGACATTATTTTTTCTCTATTATTTC